AATTCTTCATTCCTCAACTTTGCACCCTTGGGGGTGGTTATATCTTTCAATTCTACTATAATTTCTAAGTTCTGAGTTAAGGAACCTTAAAAAACCTGTTCTTTTCTTGAATGCATGTGATCCTGAAACTAGACAACAATCAACGGTTTGGGTGCTCCAAAATGATCAGTCGAACGAATAGTCCTGGCCAGTTAGTAGTATTTATATTTCTAGATGTCCGTAAACTATAAATATCATCAAGACATATAGTATATGTTCTTGTATTTAAAATAGATAACATAAGCACATTAGTGTACCACAAAGTTTGTTGTGTTTTGTGTATTCGTTAACACGCACCCAAAATAACCTTACTTTATCGATACCGTTCTGTCACGCAACACCTCGTATCCAAATTTGTTGGAAGAAGTCATTTGGAAAAATACTTCTTATATTAGCGATTGTTGATGCAAGAATGTTTCTATTTTGAAATCAAATCATTATCAATTTAGAACTCAACCTTTGTAATCGAAGTGAACGATATAAACGATACGACAATTTAGAAACTTGTTTGAACATCTAGATAATAAACTTTATGCAAATCTTACTGTGATTTTGTATTGGAATACGCTAGACTGTTTTGTTTGGCGTATTTATATTTAAATATAAATCTACATATAAATATAATGTTTTCTATATATATGTAGATTGCTGTTACGGTAGACTATTTACAAAAAATCCCAGCATTTTCAGTCTGCATTGCACTTTACAATAACAATAAACATGTGGTATTTCGAGGCAAAATATTTACTGAAACTCATACTTGTTACAGTATAATACCTAACTATAGACGAATTAAAACAAAGTTGTGTTGATGTACCACTATCCTTAACCTTCGAATTTCCACCAAGGACTTCAAAGGTGAAGTCACTGTATTTTAGAAAGGTTTCTAAGAAGCTTAACCAGAAGGGCGTTTTTTGGTTGCTGCCGAGCTCTGGATTACAGTATTTGAAATCAAAGGACCTTCATAAGTATGAAGACTGAACAATTCTATAGTGCTAGTAATAAATTGCAGCAAATTTCTGAGAAAACTTTCACTATAGCAAGAATAAATATTAAGATTTATGTAAATAACTTGTCACATTGTAAACACATATTATAAAATAAATACATTTTGCGTGGGTATATCTCTAAAATCGAGCGTGCAACTTCTCGAACTCAAAACACTACAGTGTCATATTAATATTATGAACTAGTTCGATCCGTATTCAGACCCTTTTTAACTCCAGATCTGATTATCTTACAGAAATAAAACTACACGAATGCTTTAAGAGTCCGCTCACTACGCTATATTATGCCTAATTCAAAAACTCTAACTTGAGTAGTTTAAGAAAAATGCACGATTGAAAGTTATATATGTAGTCATAGTCAAAAGATTTTATTTCTTCTAGGTATGGCCAGGTATGCATTAAATGCTGCGTAAGATCACATTGCAAAAGGCAACTATGAGAAAATAATAAATTTAAGGAATTCTCATAAAAGTTGATTGTCAGCTTGATACAAGAAACGTATTAAATCGCACCATTTATTACTTCTTGCCAAATTATTTGTATCATGAACGAGGATAGGTATATCGGTTTCAACTCCTTAAATGTAATACAAAAAATGAACCACATTTTTTTTTTTTTTTAAATGTTAAGCACAGAATACATAATTTTTTTAACACAAGAGAGCGCTCCAAGTTGCATAAACCCTTTTAAGGGACGGTTCTGACTTAAACCAGCGTTTATATATCTACGTTTATACTATATGAATGTTATGAGCTGTCTCAGAATCCCTCTAGAAGCAGTGTTTCGTAAAATTATACTACTCTAGTAGTTCGTAGGTGCTTACAAATTCGTTGACTCCGAACTGTAGTTGTCTAATTGGTCTATTGGCACTTTATACGTGCACTGAGTTGTAAAATACTTTTCTTGTCGACTATTTTACATTCAAAGCTAGTATAAAACTTTAACAGGTCAGTTAATTACCTATAAAGTCCTCCGAATTATATTTATACGAGTAGTAGCGGTTTCATAACGGCAAACGTGTAGGTTGTGCTGAGCTTATTAGTTTTTCTGAGAAATCTTATAAATAACTTTGCTGGGGCGCTAGCTAAGTATATTGGCGAAATTCCTTGCCCGGGTACAGAGTGTCAACGCCCTAGCTGATAGAAATGTCCTTCCGCATTGAGGTTTAATAGCATAATTGACAAGAGAGGTTGGTGAGATAAAATTTAGTTTGCACTTAAAAGGACTGTGCGATTTCACATTTATTGCCTGGAAATCATAAGTAAGTAAGGGGTTAATTTTGTGTCATTATGTTGTAAAATAAGTAACCCTAAATCCCTTTTCTCCAGTAACAATAGAGATAAGTATTTTAGCGTAGAGCTTCGGCCTGTGTTGACAAAAATATAATGTATTTTATTAAAAAGGTTGTATAACCATAGACTTTAGCAAAAACAACCTTGTAAATTTAAAAGTTTACGCATTTTGTTAGATATAACCAGCATATAACCAGCAGAGCACTTGTCTTCACACATTTTTGCACCGATCAATGCGTAATAGTTCAATAACATTATTGTGAAACTATGAATAAGAGTGACTATTACTGTTAGTGGTATTACCATGGACACTAAAGTTGAAACTAAAGCTCGTCGTCGCACATGTTTAAATATAAAATGATTCTACTAATTAAATTAGTGGAATATGCATGGATTCAGTAAAGTGTTATTTTTTTCAGTACAAATACAAATGATTTCAGTAAAAATTCAATCCAATATTTTGATCTTTAATTGAATTATTCCAATAGTTAAAATATAAAGTTTAGATAGGATAATAATTAGACAACGTACTATTCTTGGAGAACATCGTCTATGTACTTACTTATCTCATTAAACCAACGACTAACCTTACACCATTAGCTTGTCTTTGGTATGTACTTAGTAAACAGAACTTTAACTAAGACTAGGGTTTGTTGGTAGATGTAGGTAAGATACCTACAAAGTCCATAAAAATATTGTACAAATCAATCTTACTACAGATTTTTATCTGTACCCTTATAATTTTATAACTATAACGATTTGGTTATAAAACATGGTGTGAAGGTAGAGTGGTGCTTTAAATTAATGTGAATAAAGGGTGTTCGGTTCGGGTCGAATGATGAATGAGCGTCCGCCGCGCGCCCTACGCTGCCATCGATCGGTGAAGGGGGCAAGATTCCAAAAGACAGTTCATGTTTTAGAACGCTGACGCACCTATTTGTCTATATCACTACCGCAATATTTGTTATGACGTAGCTCACAAACAAAAATATTTACCCAACTCAATCCAACATGAAACTATAAAATCTCGACGTTTTGGCATAGAGATACTCTAAATTCAAATTCACAGGAGCAATGTCATTCTCTCTTATTGTCTTTTTCTTAACCAGAAATAAAAGCAGACGGTTATAATTATATTTTAATTATTATTCAACCTAATAATAGTAGGGGACCCTAGGAAGGGATTTCGGGATTTACTCGAGCGTGTCAGATTAACAAAGAAAGAATACCTTACACCCAGTTGAGTACATGAGCCCTACATATAGGGGGTATCGTTTAGGGCAGCCATCAGATTAGTCAAAAAAAATCGATGGAGAAAAATACTCGCGCATGTAAGATTAAGGTAAGTTGAGTCAATTACAAACACGTTAGTGTTTTTTTAAAGAAATCTGACGATTTGAGCGAAACATAAAGCAGTAGGGGGGAAACACAAAGTTCCAAAACACATGATCTTGATTTTTTTTATTTTAAAGCAAACAATTGAAGAAATCTACTTTAAATGTCATCATAAAAAATAGCAAATTTATTTGAAACCGTCTAATTTAAACTATAATGCAAAATTATCGTCAGATTTTTGGCTAGCATGACAGGGACATCAAGCTGAACCGTCTGTAAAAAATCTAACACGCTTGGGTATTTCGAAATGGCGATTTTTAGAATTTGCAGTTTGCATTTTCGATAATTTTGTGTCACTTTAAAATCGCCAGACTTTCAATGAAGTTGAAGTAGGACTCGTTAGAAGAATTTTATGTGGCTTGAAATAGAGCCGTCTGTTTAATTCCTACTGGTAAGTAGGGTAGATAAATGTTATTGGGACAAAAGGAATAGCATTTAACGCATGAGTGGTGTGACTGATTTTATGAGTGATCAAAGGCTTTGGTAACAGAACCGTTATTCACTAAGCGGGAAATGTTCTTCTTTGTCAACTTACAATTATTGAGGATAAATAACATATGGGTCACGTGTCGTTAAGCAGTTCTCGGAAGTTATAGATACAAACCTACGTTAATAATCTTTGTTGCGGCGTAGAAACCAGTATGATAACAAATTTAATTTACTTGTAATTTAGAAAATAGAGTAAAACGGCTTTTAAAATCCATCCATCATATTTATAGGTCCCGGCCCTTGAATGCGGTTTACATACAAGATTTGCGAGAATTTGTAGCATAATATAAGTACGTAAACAATGGTTCTTAAGAACGTTGCGCACGGTTCATAACTTTAATTAAACACTGTTAGTACACTTACTGCGTCGCTCGTCAAGTTGAATGAGTAGGGGTTAGAGTGGTGCTCGTACGTTTACAACTTAATTTAACATGTTTTCCTTCATGTCGTGTACAGAGAGTGTTTGTAGTACTACACTCCTTGATATACATAAACTACCTAAGTGTCTACATAATTTTTCGTACAAGTAGGTAAAGCTCGTTCAATCATAATAGATAATTAACAAGAGGTCAACAAAAATCTCTTGATTGAAACAAACTTTGACAAATATGAATTGTTATATTCGGGATCTTAATAAAAAGCGTGTTGTTCGATGCTAGTATATTTCCGAATGTCCGTTATACAAGATAAAAGTGTCTACGAATTGGTCGTATACAAATACCTACATTACATCCCTCCATCACTATTGAACTATACATGAGATTAATATATCATCAACTCAACCGACGGACAACTTAGCAGCGGTGTCAGCGAGACGTAAGGCGACCGCTCCGACTGGATCCCTTCCGGTGTTGTAATGGTACTGGCTTGTAAGGGACCTATGTCTTATCTGGTCGATATGCCTATACACCTCTTTACCCCTACCATCCAGAACCTTAAAATCGCTTGGCCCTACTGAGTCAGTGACAGTGCCCGGCAACCACTTCTCCCCCTTTAAATATTGGCGATACCATGCCTCGTCTCCTACATCCACACTCTTTTGTGTCCTCCTTGCCTGTTCTGTTTGTCGTTTTAGTGATTCTTGAACCCTAACTGCAAGATCCGGTTTTAGTGCGTCCGGTAGTGCAGTGCTCTGAATTTCTCTAATACATTAAAAATGTATTCAAGGCCCTATTTACTTCATTATTTCCTTAATGTGCCTTCTTAAGAAACCTCTTTAAAGTTTTAACGGCATTTTCTGCAGCTCCGTTCGAAGACCGATGATAGAGTGCCGTAAATATATGCTTAATGCTGTCAGCCTTAATAAAAGATGCAAATTCGCTGCTGGTAAATGGCGATCCATTCTCCGTGACGATCTGCCTAGGAATTCCGCACCTACTCCATAGCTCACTCGACTTTACCGTCGTATAACTAGCCGCTGTGCTTGCAAAACTTATATCCATCCGGAGGTGGCATCGACGACTAAAAGGTACAACTTTCCGCTATGGGGCCTATGAAGTCCAGGTGCAAATGTACCCAAAAGCGTGCGGGCCAGGGCCAGGGACGCGTTGTGCTACGCGGCGGCGCGTCTTTGCGCGCGGCTCACAGTGCACGCACGCGGCAGTGCTTTAGATTTCACGATACCCATGTGGGACTCATGGATCATTTTAAAACGTCCCCCCAACTTTTCTCCGGAATCACCACCATATGACACACCATATGACACAGCCTAGCACCTCGTATAATTCCGTTTTTCTATTGAAATATGGCCGTAAATTATCGAGATCACATTTTTTCCGGCCAACCGTCACAGACGTAACTCAACACCCTACCTAAAATCGCGTCTTTTTCGGTGTACCTCCTAATCTCATCATACTCTAGTAATAAACCATCTAGTGCGAAATGTAAATATGTTAGCTCGGGAATCGAACATTCAGCCTTACTCTGAACGCTATTATTCTCTGGCAACCGCGATAAGCCATCCATTAGTCGTAATATACTCAATGTCAAAATTGTAGGTGGATAATATCAAAGCCCTCCGTTGCATTCTACTCGCAGTCATAGTAGGTATTCCTGTATTCCTGTGGGGGCCCAATATCGAAACTAAAGGTTTGTGATCTGTGCGCAGAACAAACTTGCGCCCATAAATATACTGGTGAAACTTCTGTAAACAAAATACAATAGCAAGTGCCTCCCGGTGAATCTGCGAATAGTTTTTCCCCGCGACGGAGAGCGAACGTGACGCATAGGCTATCGGCCGCTCCCCGCCCGGCCCCGGCACGCTCGCATCACACGTTTTTTTTTAAATCGTAAAGAGCCAAAACCACGGTACTCATCAAAACAGATTTAATACTAGTAAAGACTCGTTTGCAATGATCATCCTACTCCTATTGTAGGTACTCCTTTACGCAACAGGTTGTTTAATGACATTATTGAGCTATAATTCTTAATAAATTTTGTTTTTTTTTTATCATACCAATAAAGGAGAGTAACTCGCTTAACGTGCTCGGATTTTATTTATCGCTTTAATTTTCGACTTATCTGTTTTGAGACCATCCTTGGAAATTATCTATCCTAGATATTTACTTCGTCTATAAAAAACACACACTTTTCTCTTTTTAACTTCAAGCCCTTTTCCGATAATAAATGGTCAGTCTTACTTTTTCCTCCTATGATGACGTCATCCAGGAATACCTGTACATTAGTTATGTTAGCTGACAAATTATCATAATACGTTGAAAAATGCCGACACTTGAAGATAACTGATACACTAACCTATTGTACATAAATAATTGTCCCTATGTGTATTAATTACAGTGTACTTTTGAGACTCGTTCAATTCGATTTGATTTTAAGCCCGAGTCAGATCTATTTTACTGAAGTACTGTGAGTCACAGTACTACATTTAAGTCTACTAGCTCATCTTGACGATGAGCGCAACGTTTTCTGACCGTGAAAAAATAGCTACTTATTTCGATCGAAGTGTGAAAATATTTTTTCAAATCAATATAGCCACAGTTATTATCATGAAAGAGAGCGTTGGTTGCACCAGAAATTATATTTCGCAGTGCGACCCGAAGCTGCGACGCCCAGCCGTGCAAATTGCCAGCGTGTGCTGAGCCTAGTCCTCACTGTAATCGCAGGCGGGACTCAATTCCCTCCTAGCGATCGAGTACAGAATCAGCCCTGCCCTCTTGACGATGACCAATGTGACGATGATGGAGCGATAATACGGCGGCAAAACTAGTATGTGGAGCCTCCAGGCGGCACGACCAACGAGCCATTGTGGCTCAGCGAGCGGCATCACGCTACTGGTCGCTGCTTCTAGCGGGGGCCACTACCCGCCCGGAACTCAGCTCAGACGCAGCGTGCGACCAACCGGTACAATGACCGAGTTGACTACTTTTGAGGTGCCAGGGGCTGAACCACGACGTGGCCCATAAAATAAGGCCTCCGTCTTATCCAAGGCCACCTATAAACCAAGCGCCTCAATGTGCCTGACCATCAAAGAGACAGCCCTGGTGGTCAGGCGCGCCGCCTCTTGAAAGTTTACCCCGCGGGCTGTAACCAAAGTGTCGTCGGCGTAACAGGTTACGCCCAGCCCAGAGGGGAACTCTCCTTGAGTGGCCCAGTCGTACCCTATATTCTACAGGAGGGGCCCAAGACCTGTGGAACACCGCACGACTTGGGCCGATGTCTCCAACTTGAAACAAACCCTAAACTTTAAACAATCCATATAGAGTTTGTTTCGAGTTTGAGACTGGTAGACCAACCCGTCTGCCCAGCGTGGTATAGCAAGCAAAACGTTCTTTGTAAGAAAAGACTTATGTCCAGCAGTTGACTATTGTAGTCTGTTGATGATGATGAATACAATAAACTAGATAACCTAAAACAATCCAAGGGCTCCTTGATAGAATTTGCTATCGATTAGCATTGACAGAAATGTTATTACAAGCGATAGTTAGTTCTTCAGCAGCATATTGCATTATTTTTGGGTTTTATAAGCCATGCACGTGATAGTGTATGGATTTCATCAGTCCTAAAAGAGTGGATCGTTTTGGATACTATATTTTCATAAAAAATTGGTTCTGTCCATACGTATTTTCATTCAAGATCTTCTAGTCTTAAATGAACGTCATTTTTTTTTATAAATGTAGAATTGTAGCATATGCATTGTAATGCATTCCTATTTTGCTCTATGTACCTACATAATATGAAAAATTTCAAAAAAGAATGCTCACGTGTTTGCAATGAATAAATTTACTATATTCTATCGAAAGAATATACATATTTTCAACAAAGCAACCTTCGAAGTTGATGGTTATATAACATAGTAGACAAGTAAATTTTTTTGTATCCTTATAATACATAAATATTAATTCATGAATTACCTAGTATTGGGTTAAGATAAAACGTCAAAGTACTATGTATACTTGTAGCTGCAGCCCATGCCCGCCGTTGTAAGTTAGGAGGTACATGTAGTACAGCAAAATGGATATCTTCTATAGAAATAAATATTTATTTTTATTTTATTTTTTATTTTTAAAAAAAAAGACAACTCCCGCATTAGGAATATACCCTGTGTCGCGGGGGACTTTACAAACATACATGAAACGGACACAAAGAACACCCAGACTCAGAAAAAACAATTTGTGGATCACACAAAGTGTCGTCCCATGTGGGGTTTGAACCCACAACACTCGGCGTGGTAGGAAGCGGCGTGGCGCCCGCTTAAACCACTACGCCATCCGTGCAGTCAATAAAATTGAAGTGTCTGTTTGTAATGTCAAAATAATAGGTTTTTTTCATGCTCAAACGGTTATTTGCACGATACCTATGCCTAAAAACCAGTTTAAATATTTTTTGTCTGTCTGTTTGTTTGTTCCGCGTAATCTTCTCAACGGCTGGACGATTTCTATAATATTTTACTACCAGGTAGCTGTCTATATAGTAACTTTTTTCATCTCAGAAAAACCCTTTAATATTTTACCCGGTCCGGGAATCGAACCCACTAAGGCAACGCTTTTCAATTTCCACGCGTACGAAACCACGGGTGCCAGCGAGTGTCACATTTAACGGTTTGTATTCCTCGACATTTCTGATTCAAGCCCTGAGATTAGACACTGGACTTTTTCTTTTTTGTAATTTAAAAAAAAAAGTTTTTTATTAACAACATAACTCTAAAACTACATTTGAATTGCAGATAAACTGGCTGGTAATTAAGCAACTACTTTCTTAATTCGCCAATGCCATAGTCTGAAGAAGTTAGTAGGTCAAATGTTGCTAAAGTGTTACACTGGTACTGTTATTGACTTTCCGTGGATGCAGTAGTTGCGTAATTTTACGTCAGTGTTTCTCGAATCTATGGTAGAACAGATATTAAAGGCTGCAAGGTTTTTATATCGCTATAACAAAAATTAGAAATGCTATATGTGTCACCACTTTCGTGTAGGCGTTCAGATCCCCAAACATTTAATTCGTTTATAAATGACTATTTTCTTTAAAAAAACAACCATATTACTAATTTGTCCCCAATAAACTAGTATACTACTAGTAATAGAGTTCAATTACAAGTAGGTAAATATAAAAGTTCAAGAATTTGCCATGGAACTGATCACTTCAAGATGTGTTTGATCGTTATTTTAATTCTCATGACACTGGCAGCTAAAACTGACCCATATCCTCATATAAATGTCAACGTTTGATGATATGCCAATTTGTCAGTTATATAAAAGGTTTAATAACAATTTAATTTTTAATTGTTAAGGAACTCATCTTTTATTTTTTAAGTTGTCGTAACAATTGTTTTACTGCACCTTGTACTTTTATTACCACATTATTTTTTGTTTTTAAAACGATATTAGGCTTTTAATGTAACTATTGTTGACCCAGTAATCGGGCGTTCCACTGGTCGACCATTTCATAGTTTGATTACGACTCAAACACAGTGATAATGTCAGTTATGCATGAATATGTTTTGTTGAATTTTTTAACCTGAGAATACATAACCATCCGCATCAGTAACCACGGGGTTCAAAAGGCAGTAGTAATGAGCATTAATGCTAATTAGATTTAAATTAATTCATTGTGAATTTTTATGTCTTAGCATGTTAATATAATAATATTGCAGAGTTTATTCGCGTAATGCTAGCCTTCGTTAATTCGTCACTTAATAGTATCTGTTCAAAAAAAAATATCCCTATCTATTCATAAAATACCTATTTTCAACGCACACGTCGCACTCTTCAAAACTTAAATTACTTATACCTACCCTATAATTAAACTTCTTATTAACATAAGGTACCTTCTATTTATATTCTATGAACAATTAAACTAAACACTACTAGAAAACAAAGGCATTTAAAACAATACCTAATCTCCCGGCCACTTGCTAGTGCTAAAAATTCAATGAATGAAATTAAAAACATATTTATGCAATAAACAATCCTAAATATGAGAATTTCTTTTAAAATAGACAATAAAATCCTTTGCTCTCTCAGAAATAGCAACAATCGTGCCGCGCTCGGTCACTGTTCCAAGCGAAATAGGTACTTAAACGTGAAAACAGACGGTTCATTTAGCAATTTAGCATTAGCAGTTGTATTAATATTTTAGCACGACGATACGAATAAAAGTACCTCTTAAACTTTACTATGCTATCAATTAGTTAAGTGCGGCCTATACAGGCTTTTTACAGGTAAATCCCTCTCTCTCTCTCTGAAGAGAAATATGTTTTTTTTATTATTGAAATTTGTTTTTCGTCAACATCACTGTATAACACGACAAACCACAATTTAAATATTTGTCATCATCACTGACAGATGGCGTTACACAAATCAATCCTGCATCGCGGTGTTATGAGTCTCATTGCAATAGGTAATCAGCTTCCGATGTAGGGTAATCAGCTTTCACTGCGTGGGACGTTCATTGGGACCGATTTGTATTTAGGTTGCTTACTTGTTAGGAGCCGACAGGAGCTGCCACTTGGTGGGACTCACAATAACCGTAACAATTGTGTAAAGGTACACATATGTAACACAAGTAGCTAGGTATGATTTAGTAAATGAAGTTTAGTCGATATGACACCGCGGTTTCTTTACCTACGTGCACGTTTCCCATTAGTTCTTAACCGCTAGACCACCTTCTTACCATTCTTCATTTTTCTCTTTTCCTTTTCTAGAAGAAAGCTTTCTGTTTTCATCATCATCATCTTCCGATGAGCATGACACCTTCATATCGATCACAGGTACATAAGATGGTTACAAAATATTAAGGTCAGGTGTGTTCTACATACAATATTTAAGGTAGGTTATTTATAGTAAGGATTAGTAGATTATTTAAAAATGAATAGCAGCATAATACAAAAATATATAAAATAAATCTTTGTAAAACAATCTTTATTTTGTAAAAAAATTAAAATAGTTTAAAATCGTCTTTTATATAAATCTATTATATACCTGTGATGATTTACAAACAACCATTTCGAAGAGGTCGAGCCTTATGAGAAGAAAGGGCAAACAAACTCATGGCCAATCTTATGCAATTTACAGATAGATACAATGGCATCATTAAATACACCACAACATTGTTTTGATGTGTGCCAGTATGTCCATTATTAAGAACTAAGAGGTAAGAAGGCAATCAAGAGAAAACAAGATAAAGAAAAAACAAACGAGTAAAAGAGAAAGTGAAGTTGAACAGAATAAAATAGAAAAAATAATAATAATGAAAAACATACTAGCCCACATCATATTATCATGTAAGAAATATAGCCTGCTCTAAATTAATCCCAAGCATTTTTGTCTTCTATGTAATCCACAATTGAGTAATAGGCTTTCTGCCATAATTTATTTTTATTGCGGATTTAAATTTGCTAACCTAAGTCTTGAATATTATTTGGGCTTTTATTTTAAAATCGGTCACATTGACCTCGAAACGACTTGTTTATCTTTTGGATCCTAGAGGCACTTACTACAAGTTTATTCCTATTTCTAGTATTTATAGAATGTACATCACTTCTTTTCGAAAAGTTATCCTTGTTTTTATCAACATATGTATATATCATATAATTATATGACAGGGCACTGTATTATGTCTATTTCTTTAAATTTCTGCCTATAGAACAACGATTGCCTAAATTATAAATTGCTTGAATCGCTCTCTTTTGCAGTACAAAAATACTTTAAATGTCAGCAGCATTCTATTATGCTGACGTCACCAAACTTAGCTGAAAACAAAAGATTATTTATAATCTGAGAATACCTTTATATGTATAGATAATAATAGATTGTACGATAGGAAGGGATTAGGTTTTATCATAGGATCTTATAACACGGCTAGTTCGCCTAAGTTTTATTAAGTATTACAGCTGCTGTATAAATGATAATTTTATTTATTTCTGTAAGTAAGGTTTTCAGATATTTTTACAAGTCGGACTTTACAGCTAGAAGGAACCGGTATTCCCTAAGACTCACTCTGCGAAGAAACGCTGCAACAAACCACAGAGGTGTCTTTTTTTAAAAGTCCGTAAACAAAGTTAAAAAAAACTGTGCGAGTACAGTAAAGGGTCTGGGTATGCCTTTTAAAGTAAGGACCATAGCTTAGAATCGGCCTGTCCATACAGACGGCATACAAGCTCCAGCCATCGTGTAGCTTAACCGATATTGGTCAGGATCAATGTTCCGAAGCATGATACTACCGACAGCGGGACATTTGGGTAGGCCGTGAAAAAACTCAAAACCACCAGAAAGTTGTTAAAATATGAATTAATATTACAAGCCTACCCTATACTCACATTTAAATACTTACACACAAAAAATGCTATAAAATTCAAATTCACCGAAAAATAAATAAATTAAAACAAACAAAATGCGAAATACACTTAAAAATTAATAATCCAGTCCATCACTCTCAAACATAACAACAAGATCGGAACGTAAACGTGGGAGTGAGCAGCATCAATCAAATTTGTCACCTAAATAATCTGTAATCGTGTTTTACTATAGACTTAAATTTGTTAATACTTAATTCATGGAATTTGCTTGGTATTTTATTGTAGAATCGAACACCCGGACATCGAAAAGACTTGCTTACTTTTTGTAGCCTCGTGGTTGGTAATACGAGTTAATCTTTATTTCTAGGTTTCTTTTATGAATGTCGCTGAACTTTGTGAATGAATGAATATTTTTCTTAACATACACTAAATTTTCATATATGTATTGAGATGCGACTGTCATGATGCCAATTTCTTTATACTTATCCCTGTACTGTTCTAATCTCCTGCTCCTTCTAATGTCCTAATCCTGAAATGTCGTCGAGAATACAGTCAAGGATATCGTCGTAATTTTCTCATCAGTGTCACTGCCAGATAATAAAATTGATTAGAATCTTCGGTACAGAGTAATATATTTTATGTACACTAGACATGCCTTTTAAGTTCTGTCGTTTCCATATTTCCCGGCAATTTTGAATTTGGAACTGTTCTATATTCGAATGTGTTTAAATTTTGAATCTTTGAATTTGAAAACAGTTGACAGTATTAGGATTAATGCTATTGTTTAGTCACAGCGTCGATTGGAATCTGTCAGGTTACGTTCGAAAATGAATCTTTCTTAGGAATGAAAATGTTCGTGCAATAATTTTCTACAACTTTAGAAGAGGCCTGACACGGTTTCAGTGTTTTGAAGAGCTAACATCTGTGTTCAGTGATGAAGCCCCATGTCTGCGAACTCTCGAACGCGGGTATATAGAATTCCAGCGTGGACATACTAGTGTTAGTGACAAATCTCGCGAAGGACGCCCAGAATCCGCCTTCACTGAAGATAACATCATCGCTGTGAGACAACTAATTCTCGAAGATCGTCATGTGACGTATCGAGAGATAGAGACTCTATTAGGCATCTCAGGGACAACCATTCAGATCTTGCATGAAGCGCTTAGTGATACCGCATCTGCTTCCCGACGATCACAAGGCGGCCCTCGTCAGATGGTGTAAGAAAACTCTGCAAAGGTTCAACCGAGGAGAGTCAAATCACGTCTACATCATCAGTGGTGACGAATCTTGGATCTATGCCTACGATCCCGATCCCAAACAACAATCTACAATCTGGGTCTTTCAAGACGAGCCAAAGCCGACTAAAGTGGTTCATTCTCGAAGCACTTCAAAGAAGATGGTGGCCACGTTCGTTGGAAAAACCGGCCATTTTGCGACTATTGCACTTGAAGATCGCAGAACGGTTAACGCAGAGTGGTATACCACAGTTTGTTAACCACAAGTCATCGCTTCACTTCCTCACTTCGAAAATCTAACTCAAAGCGACGCATCATCCTGCACCACGACAACGCAAGCTCACACAGCGCCCGTCAAAGGATAGATGGATAGATAGAAATTCTTGACCATCCTCCATACAGTCCTGACCTAAGCCCTAACGATGTCTTTACATTTCCTAAAATTAAGAAAAGCCTTAGCCTCGTGGTCAAAGGTTCCAGTCCGGTGAGGAAGCAGTTGACGCTTTCAAGTCAGCCATTTTGAACACTCCCACTTTAGAGTGGAATAATTAAACTACGTGGTGAATACTTTAAAAAACAATAAAAAGTACTATAAGGTTCTAGTTGTTTTTTTCTTTTCAAACGACAAAACTAAAAAGGCATGCCTCGTAAAAAACACAACACCTCAAGTCTTAAAAAATTAAAGGCACTAATTTCATTTATGTTACTTCTTTTTTGTAAAAGTTTTGCAGTATTAATGTTTGTAATATTTCTTGTAACTCACATGAGCTCTCTTTAAAGTAAATAATGAGAAAAGTTTTAATTGAACTTTAGCTATTGAGTAGCGTGACCGAAACTTAATATGGATTTGGAAGTTTAGGGTTATCAGAACGAGAATAGAATGGGGCATTCCTGGAGATCCACTAGGAAGATCTTTTTATCAGGCGGGTCGTCTGCCTATTGCGAATTGACCTTTACTTGCGAAAGTACAATGCTACTTGTATATTAGATAAACGTAGCAGATTATTAACAAAGAATTTGTTTTAAATTATTATTTTAACAACTTTCGAATAGTCGACACTTTTATTACTTTAATTACTTTAACCTGTAATTAGAGTAGGAATGTGATGTGTCTAAAATGACACTAGATACTAACTACTTTTAAATTATAAACTTGTGTTTTATAGTAGTGTGGGAGCCCTAGAAGGGATTTCGGGATTATTCGAGAGTGGCTTAGTCACATAGGATGAATACCTTGCTCCCAGTTAAGTACCTCCATCATACATGAGCCCTACATATAGGGTTTTCTGACCATCGTTTTTTTACTAATCTAATGGGCTGATCGTCTAAAACACTAGAAGCTCGGCCCATCAGGTATTTTGAAATGGCGATTTTTCGAATTTGCAGTTTGCATTTTCGAAAATTCGATACGAGCTTGTGTCACTTTAAAATCGTCAGACCCTTCAATGGGAGCATTTTTGGTGTCCAAATAACATTTCAACAAAATATATGATGCGCCCGAATATTTTGTTTTCGATTTCCTCCCCATCCTTTTTTGAAAACCTGTAGTTTTTCCCAACGCTGAAAGTGGAAACATTGTAAAACTTTTATTCATTCTATTACATAATCTTTCAAATGCAATAGGTCTCCATGACGCTCGAGAATATCCCCATTTAGCTTAATGGGCATCTCCCCCATCACCCTCTAGTATTAGAGAAAATTCTTGTTTTTTATTTTAAGTTGAAGTGAAGTTGTATTTTAAGTTGAAGTTTGCAAAAAAACTGACACAATAAGATCACTGACTTATAAGAGTTCTGTAGTGTGTTAAGTATTCACAAAAGCATTTCTTATCAGAGATGGATAAATAAACCTATAACTGGAGTGGTGCCAACTTACGTAATCATCTTTCTTCTTTGCCTGGTGAGCAACCTCACCCGTTATTAGTTACGAAGCCTGTTATCTTCCATGTAAATATAGTAAAAATAGCAAGAGGAATTCGACAATGGCTTCATTCGATCGGAATGTCACGTTTCAGCAATCTTTATGAATCAGGCCATTTACAAAATTATCACAGGTTAGAGTTTTATTCATTTAATTTGCGAAGTTTCTACGTATTTATGTATGTACATGCTATTCTTTTCCTTCGATAAGTACTTTATTTGATTTTTAATATGGAAAACTAAAATATCTTTATCATTAGTCTAGTTGATGTCAAGAGGCCGAAAATTAACACATTTTAATAATAATA